GGGTGGGGGCTGGGTGGAGGGGAGCAAAGGAGGGGGAAATGGGGGACATCTGTAATACCGTCAACACTAAATTAAAAATAAAATAAATTAAAAGTGCTATCCAACAGGGCAGCTTCCCATCCTCTTCATGTCACAGAGGACGTCCCCATGTCCCCAACTAGCAGCTTGGAGAAGGGTCTGAGCCTCACTGGGGAGGCCAGGCGAGGGGGGGAGAGTGGTAGGGCGAGGGGCGTGGAGGGGAACTTCCGAACTTGAACACAGGGGCAGTGGGAGAGGAAGCAGCGCTGCGGGAGGGACCCTGGGACAGCAGAGGCCCCCCTTCCTGCCCGCCTCAGCCTGGCCTGTCTCGGGAGCGGGGACCTAGCTGAGCCTGGCGGCTGGAACAATGTTGGGCAGGTGCCGGCCGAGCTGCGTGAAAGGCCCAGCCCGGTGTCATTGTCAGCGCTCAGCCAAGTGCAGAAAAGCAATTTACTGGTCACGCCGCTTGCTCCCCTTGGAAATTTTTAAAATTCTTCCGATTTGAGCTATCCGCGGTGTCCCAGGTCGTGCGGAGAAGGGATTTTATTAAATTCCCAGCTTCCCGCTCCCCGGGGTGGCTGGCGGTGAGGCGGGGCTCGCCACATGGGGGTGGGGAGGGCAGAGTCTGGCATTGACTGTGCTCAGGGAAATGTGGCTGGGGGCTGGGGTGGGGGCCCATCCTGGACCTGGGGACTGACGGATGGGAAGAGGGGAGGAGCTCCCAGGCTCAGAATGGACCAGTCCCCCAAAACCTGGAGGTGGGGGAGGGAAGGGCACAGGGTACTCAGTCCCCAGGGCAATCCCCTGGGAGGATGAGGCTCTGTGAAACTTGCAGACCTGTCAGGTACCACTTTAGCGTCAGGGCCACGCACTTCACAAATGATGAAGCTGAGACTCACAGGGGTCTATAGACAGGGACAGGGGAAGCTGGGGCTCAGGCTCAGTCCTCTGGATTGCACAGCCCTGAGCCTTTCCAGGGTGGGGGAGGCCTCCCAGCCCTGCTCACCAGGGGATCTCTCACTACCACCCTCGAAGCTCACCCTGCCGGGAAGTAGCTGCTCTTTACTGTCTGCCCAACATCACCTCTGTAGGGAGCAGACTTCAGACTCCCGCAGCTAACACATGGGTCCCATCCCTCATCTCTACCTCTCATGGCCACTCCACCTTTGTCCCTAGAGCATAAATGGGGACATGAGCCTACCAACCTTGCCTGTGGTAGTGTTTCTTTATCTTTTAGGAATCCTGGGTGCTTCTGAAAATCTGTGGGGAGCTGGGAACCCTCTCCCCCACACAAGCACATTTGGACACCATTTGGGTGCAATGTTCCAGGGACTCTCCTCCCCCATCCTTAGATACTCTAAGGGTGCATGGGTTAAAAACCTCAGTCCTATGGCAGTTTGAATGGGGAAAGGCTGCAAAGGAAGGGGGAGGTAGGAGAGGGAGCTCCCTCCCTCACCTGCTTGAAGTCCTAACCCAGATGGACGTAACCCAGACAGACCACCCAGCTCTTTCCCGAGAGGCTGGCTCTAGCTCTGGCCAAGGAGGTGGAGGTGGGATGCAGAGGCCAGGTTCCCTCCCTCACACTCCCCCGGAGAACACAAAGACCACACAGCAACCCCTCCTGGGCCCCACTTCAAGGACCAAGAGGCAGCAAGCATGAAGGAGCTTGGGCAACAAAGTCCGCAGCCATCTCTCTATCTGCATGCCCAGCACTCAGGAAAAGAGCTCTTGCCCAGGTCAGACAAGCCGATCCTCTGGAGTGACCCCATGGCCTGCCCTCTGTTTAGGGACTCAGCTGCAAACCAGGCAGGCCATGCCTGGCACTGGCCTCTCTCTCTGACACCAGCCATTCCCCCCACCCCCGCCACCACACAGGGTCACATCTGCTTTGGCAAACAGCCAGTCTTAAGTTACTGACTCCAGTTGTATTGATTCAAGGAGTCACTGGGGACCCCAGCCTGGCCAACAGGAGGAAAGAACCCATCAGTCTGTCCATCCATCCATCCATCTATCCATGCATCCTTCCGTCCCTCCAGCCCCCAGCCCCAGCAAGCTGTCCCCAGCTCAAAGCCCATCCTGATGGTAACAATCCCCTCCCAGAAATGGGAGGGGAGATAAGCAGACCCACCACCACCACCACCACCACCATCAAACACTGTGCAAGAGGCTGCTGAGTGTCAACAGCACTCAACACACACAGCCCTCCTCCTGCTGGAAAACTGGGAGAACCACCAGTCCCCCCCAGATCAAGGCCCTCTCAGGCACCTCTGGAACCCAGAAGTCTAAAGCCTAAACATCCCCTCTAACCTTGTGAGGACACCTGCCTTCAGCCCAGAGGGGAACAGGGCAGACAATCTCTTTTGGCCCCAGTCCAGCTCCTGCTAGGGCCCCTCCCTTGCAGCTCTAGATGGGTGGGGGCTAGGGCAGCTGGCACTTCCTATTCCCTTTCCCTCTGCACCCACCCACCACCACCCACCACTACACTGAGGCAGCCCTGGTCTGGTTCTAATCGGGGCTGAAGTCGGCTCCCTCTTTCCCTCTTCTCTCC